TGAGAGGAGTTGTGTTAGAACAGTATCTGATGGTACTGCTCGCAGCGATCGGGTCATTTGATGTAATCAGACTGCAGCAGCCTCATTGTGATGGAGTTACCAGTGATTGATGTCTCCACTCAATAGCGAATGATTCAGGGTGTAGGTCATTCGAGATGGGGCACTAACGTGTTGATTTGTTCGCGGACTGTTGGCTCTAATTGACTACGAGTTCTACACGATCCATCAGGGTCAGTTGGTTGTTGATCGTTTGTCGTTTGAGTATAGGATTCTGACTCCTATCTCGCGGAAATAAATTCGTCGAGAACTAAGAATGTGCGTCAGTCGTGACCTTCATCATGTCACCATCATTTATATCTTAAAGGTCCTCCCGCTGTCGGTGGCTCTCACAGTGAGCGTGGGCGCAGTACCTTGAGACCAGGGTGACATCGATAAAGGACATTCCTTGGTGGGACTTCTCCAGAATGCTCGCCTGGTTGCGTCTGCCGCTTCTGAGTTTCTTATGAGGCGAATGAACTCACTGGATGACATGACTGTAAGCTGACCTGAGGTAGCTTTTCCACGCCACTTGTTGGCGGCTTCGGTCCACTCGAGGATCAGGAACAAAGTCTACTCTAACCGAGGTTTGGTGGAAGATGCTAATTTTCAAGAGAACAATTGCATGTGAGCATCACGTGGATATTCTCGAGCATGTCTCAAATCACGATTGCCTCATCTCCGAAGTCGTTTCTGTCTGTGTTCAAGATGGATAAGAAAGGGACCCTTGAACGCGCCAAGGGGTCGAATAAGCAAAGCTTGGTATTTTTGCTCGGAGTGCTCTAGCTGTCCAGGAGTTGCAGACTTGCACTAAATTATACTTAAAGGATTATGCATAAAAAAGGGTATATCTCGTATTCAATGATAAATCGCTATGAACTTACTTTGCTGCTTCCTTCCGAGAATTCAAGCGCAGGTACTTTTTATTCAAGGCTAATGAGGGAGCGATGAGATGGACGATAGTTGAAAGTACTCCATCATGATTCCTACACTCAGTTTGCTGTATAATATGGCCCCCATGTCAACGACTAGGAACTCAAAACAGCCGTTAATCCGAGGGTCGTTCCTCCATTCATTAGTTCACGGTCTTTCCGAAAACTTGGAGTGGCGAAAATAGCAGCCGATAGAATTCGACATAATTTTACTTGTAGAGGACGGGGATCAGCGCCTCACTATGCTCATAGTACTCGCATCCCTGAGAGATGCACTTACAATGCAGTTAACGTATACTCTGGGAATCCCCACTTGATCGGGAGTGACAGGGAAGATGCGAATGGGCTTGATACCGGCATCGTTGAATCCACATGCACGAACATGTGGTAGCTGTGTCTTCTCCCAGAGCTCTTGCCAAGATTCGTACTCACCTACGATGAAACTCTGTACAACAGCACCATTTGGTGATATATGTATACCTTTCAATACACCAATAGACGTCAGATTGCAGTAGGTGAGAACTCCTCCGGGTTTGAGCACTCTGTAGGCCTAAAACGGTTGAAGGTCGCATGGGAGTTATTGGGATCGTCAACCTCCTTAATGAACTTGAATTGATGTGTATGTTGCTCATCTTTATCATGGGGATAAGTGTCGTAGAGGATGCCGTCGATACTGTTGTCAGGTAGCGTCGCAACAACCTCACGGGCGAGGCCCAGCATAGGTGTTACTTTATGTGGGGCCTTCGATGCGAATGCCTGAGTGACAAGAGATAGACCACTACCCGCATCACGACGATTATATACCTCTAACCGCTTGAATACATCCTTATTGGCTTCTATGATGATATGCTCATCGATGTCATGCTTCTGTACAGCACTTGCCGACAGTCCGAGCCCAAAACCAAGCTCGAGGACTCTGCCGCCGTTAGAGGTAGCTATCTCCGCGAGGGCGTGCATGTACGGCGCCTAGGGAATCGACCACAAACCATTGACATACCCAGAAGGATAATGAAGATGCTCGCCGTAGACTTGGGGAGAAGATTCTCTCAGTCTCACCTCCCACTTTTGCATAACGGGATGACCATCGATGTCGAGCCTGTCACCGTCGAACTTCTCATGTATGTCGCCCCACTGCTGAGCGTCACTCGTCTCGTTCAAACCATCGTAGCCTGCATGCGGCAAGGGTGGCGACATGTTGAGTGAACGAAGGCCTCGCTGGAGAGCTAAACAGTGGAAAGTGTGAGGGGAATACGACCACTCAGGAGGAGAATTATTTAACATGCGCTCAAGTGAATTGTTGACCATCACTGATAGTACTCACAACAAAGAGGTATCTGCGTCGTAGACCCTACGAACCCCTGCCAGCATTCACAATACGAGCGACTGAGTGCCCCTCACTAGATGGGAATGCTACTAGTCATAAGAACTAGCAATCAGTGTGAGTCAGTAGGAGCATGTGTGAGCGCTACCATCAGGAGCATCGATCACGCAGGAAGCTGCACGAGTAGGATAGTCAGATTCCCATCACGAAAGGGTTCAAGACAGGGCTTTTCCAACCGATGAAACGAGTTACGCAACGTGAGGCGAATCACGCCAGTGGTTACCAAAGATGCTATCGCACTTGGTAGAATATTTGTGTATGCGTGCGAAGATGTTGTGTAGTTCGAAGCATTAACGAGTGAGTCCCCTTGAAGAGTTCTTCACTGTCGATCCGATATGGCGGCCCACAATCACGGGATCTTTACCACGGTGCTGAGGTTATACCCGAGTTTCGAATTCAATTAATTGACGGAAGATCGAAACTCAAATAAGCTGACTTCGACAATCAAACTGCATTCCACGGTTTACACAAAAAGCCCATTCGGTCATGCTCCGACTCACCGGCCCGCATAAACGCTCGCTTCCATGAGCTACACGGATCCATTAGCTACTAATTTTGAGCCATAACTCCTTGCGACGCGAGGTATCGGCCGCAAGGAAGCTTCTCATAGTCTTCCTTGATTCGTGGTCTCGTAAACTTCCCATCAGCCAAGCACACGCATTGCTGCTATATCAAATGCCTTCGTCACCGTCAGAGGCCAAAGGACGGCCATATATTCGACGAAGTCGTGGGGACGGATCTAGTCGGGGCACCGAGACACTCGCGCCGCCCGATTCGGTATGTCACGGTGAGGTCGTCACACATCTAGCGGAGGCACTGTACGTCCAGTGGTGTCTCAATCATGTCCTTCGTAGATGCCTGCAGCTCGCCCTGTCGTTTCACGTGACCAGTTGCTTGTCGAGCTCGGATTCTCTGGAGAACCCGCAACCGCCAGCCTTATCAATAATGATTCTGAGCTCTCGCTTGCTTCAGGGGACCAACCATCGGCTATTCTAACCCGGTAAGCTGTGTTAAAGTTGACGAGCTACTGAAAGCCTAACAGATACCGCGCTCTAGAGAGAAAACTACGCAAAAAGGAAGAGGATCTGGAGAGATTGAAAGTTGACAATACTTGCCTCCGCAAGGAGCTGGCGAGCATGCGGCAAGGCTCAACCACTTCGACACCACAGAATGCGGACAATCGTGCGCTGGTGAAGACACAGATGAAACTCCTCAAGTAAAGACAGTCTCATCATCGACGAATAACGGAGTCCACCAGTTGATACTAGAACTGGCGCTTCTGCGTCAGGCGAGAGATCACGTCGCAAAGACAAACACTTGCTGAATACAAACGGAAGGAAGAGTGGATGAAAAAGTGTCTGACCTGGTCGGATCGCTTTCGTGACACAAACCGATCTCCCGTGCGCACTTTCGGATCATCTAGGTATGCTAGAGTCTCTAGTGCGCACCTTCCTAAAGAGCTTGCACGAATACCACCACCCAAGGAGGACGAGATGTCTTTACGCGCAGCTGAGGTGACTGGGATGGAATCAAGAGTTCACAATACTGAACGGTTTGGCATACCTATAACTAGGAGCTCTATCGGCTGTGATGAGCGCAACTTAGACGTTTCTTCTCGAGGTGGATGAGGAGGTCTTAGAGATCGAACGAATCTGCCGCGAAAGGATAGCACAACGAACACAGTCGCCATCTTCCGAGCAGCACGCGTCATTTGTGGGAGCTGAACAGAAGACTAAGATGGACATTAATAAGGACCAAGAGGTTCCCGATGATGTCCGTTGGGAACTCTAACCTTGCAAGTCATCCTTGCAAGATGTGATCGTGTACCGAACATAATGCTAGCCGTCCATTGAATGATAGCTCTTGACCATAGGCGGTCAACAAAGCAGATGATCTATTCCTGACACGATTGCCCGATGCTGCTATCATTGCTCATGACGTGACGTTGAATAGTCGGTCATCGCAGCTCAGTCATCAAAATATAAGTCGTCCCACGGAAAGCCAAACCTCTCAGAGGCGAACGCAGCACTCGGAGACTGGAGGAGGTAGCCAAGCTGAAGATGATCGAACGCGAGAACATCTCCGGAAGCTGACGGAGAAGTACAAAGTGGGTAGGGATTGACGAACGGTGGCCATTCAATCCCCTCCAAGGACGAGAGAGTCGTCGTATGGTATACCTTCGTTCTTGCAGACTCTTCGAAAACTCTACGACAAAGCTCGGGGTGACTTGGAAAGGTCGTCGGCTGACTCCAGCCGTGTAGGGTCGGGTGGAGAACAAACACTCGTGACTGACTTCACAGCGAGAACGAAATCGGACCTCCAGGTGGGGCTAGAGCTCACACAGCCTGGCAAGCACATCCTGCTTTGAATAGGATCACTGTGAAGCATGTTCCGCTCAGGAATTGCGGGAACTTGTCGTGAACGAGTTGCGCAAATGCTACGGACTGTTAGAAGAGCGATCCAGGAGAATGGAAACGGCGGCCGACGACCGAGTGAGTACATACGTTGACTCAGGGTCTACTGATCGACATAACCTACGTCGTGCTGTATTTATTCTTGGAAGCTCGCTCCGTTGCTAAGGGCTTGACTTGGAGTTTTCGGGCGACGTTCGATTCCTCGTAAAGTAGGTAAAACGACTTCTGCTGAAGCTTGCGGAAGAGACAAAGAAGAGGCGGGAGCTGCATAACATAGTCCAAGAGCTACGAGGGAATATTAGAGTCTTTGTTCGTGTAGGACAAAAATCCTGGATGAAAAATTGCTCTCAGGAGCTCCCAGGTTCGTCCTCTGCTCGAGAAAGAGCGAGCGGAGGGCCACTGTGTTGAGTTTCCTGATGTCAACACCATACAAATCTTCAGTCGAGAACTTCAAACAGCAAAGAAATGGGAATTCGATAAAGTGTTCAACGACAAAGCGGGCCAGGTAACGACAACTGGAGCTCGTTCACACATTAGAGAGCATCTGCCGCCCCCGCCTGATCGATACATTAGCAGTTGTGGAGCCCAGTGTCAGGCGGACGTATTCTCCGAACTACAACCTCTCATCATCTCTGCTCTTGACGGGTATAACGTGTGCATATTTGCTTACGGCCAAACGGGTAGCGGGAAGACTCATACGATGCAAGTAGGCGTATCGTGCCCCTAGTAGATATTCACTGTTCTCAGCATTCAATGCTGTTGTTTTTATGTGTACTAATAGTAGACTCGCCTTTACCCTTCAGGGGACTTCGAATGAAGCCGGAGTGTACCACCGAACTCTGAAGGAGCTGTTTGAGGTGATTTGCCACTTGCGATCAATAGTGGAAACGGAGCATCTCCCAGGGCATTGAGGCTCGCCGTGGAGGATGGTCGTATCGGTTGACAGCCTCGGTCGTAGAGATCTACAATGAAGAGATCCGTGATCTACTAGTAGACCGGAGCTCAGGGAATATCGCCAAACCCAGGGTGGGTTCTGCAGCTCTCGATTGTGGACCGTGATTCGTAGTGGTGACCAAACGCTACAACCAGCCATGAATGTTATTTCCATTTCTGTTTTCAATGTTGATGACTGACAAATATTTGCTTATGAGCTTGGCCCGATTTGAACGGACAACCGTCTGATCTGGAGTCAGATGCCCTACCGTTGAGCCACAAGCCCAATTAGAAGTTTTATGCATCAAACATTGCGACCCCCATGCTGTTGAGCTTGGCAGGTTCAGCTGACTTCCACTGACGGGGTTCCCACAAGTCACGTTCCCGGGCTCACATGGCTACCAGTTCTCTCTCCAAACGATGTACACTCGATGCTTGAGAAAGGTGTACCTCTCTGTTGGGCTCCATCAGGGAATACCCGTGTGTCAGGTTGGGAGGCCAGAGCTGTCGGATCGACCAATATCAACGAGCAGTCGTCCAGGTCACATCTGATAGTGTCATTGAAAGCTGAGATTGTAACACCTGGAGGAGATCGGTTGACGTCTAAAATAAACCTTGTTGATCTTGCTGGGAGCGAGCGTTTGCGGAAGAGTGGTAAGTTCGGTCAGTTCAGAATCGGTAGCTCTTGGACTGGGGACCTTGCTCTCAGCAATAAGTTTCTAATTGATGGTTATGTAGTTCTCTGGCGAGTTTCAGCCTGTAGGTGCGGTCGGGCAGCGGCAGAAGGAGGCCGTCGCCATCAACAAGTCACTTAGCGCCCTTGGGGACGTGATCTGTGCACGGGTGACGAAGAGCCAACATGTTCCCTACAGGTGGCGTGAGTTGTATCATCCCCCACAGAGTATCGATTGTTGTTAGGAATTCCGTGCTGACATCCATTCTAAGTGAGAGCCTTGGGGGTGACTCGAAGACGGTGATGCTCCTACAGATCAACCCGGCCGTGGTATGCAGAGCAGTGGTCTGTCGTTGGCTGGAAGCCTCTCTCATCAGAACTCCTATGATGAGTCCAGTAATTCCCTGAGCTTCGGTTCCCGAGTTAGTGCAGTCGAGATGAAAGTTATAGATCCACGGAAGAAGATGACGAGCTCATGATTCATTTTCTTGCCTGATACACCTTGCGGCTTTTGAACAGTAGCAGTGTTTATGCACAATCTTTCTCACAACTCCATTGGATTTCTCATAAAAGGATTATTTAAGACTTCTCATTCGTATGTACGATGTGAATTGTCGTGAATCGCTCGTGAGCGAGGCCATTGTTGATGCTGAATTGACCCATTCGGTTAGTTCATAGCCGTTTCACAAGGTTCTGAACATGCGTGCACATAGGTTGTGCAGTCCGCCTCCCACCCTCTTCGCAGCTCAGACTAGTGAGTGTGGTTGGGGTTAAAAACTCTAACTCGGAATTCGGCGGATCCCAACAGCAGGCGTCATATGCTCAAGGTGTGATTGAGCTGATGAGTGTCGTTGGAAGTGTGCAGTCTCTAGAAGTTACCCATTTTGTTTACTAGCGTTATATTCGTGAACCACCTCCCTTCTCCCTGTCGTGTGACCATCGAAATGCCCGAGTGGTTTGCTCATTTCTTAGGAGCTACCTCAGCGCATTAGTATTTTAGCTCTTCGATTAATGGCAACATTTGACAATACGACAGTGTGCGACAGTAACTTATTCAGCCAGGAGGATTGGCTGGAAGTTGTGTAAGTCACAGCCCTGCATTCACTGAGGCCCTTTAATACGTGCATTCGGCATTGTTCAGGTACATCGGCTCCGCTGTTCTCTTCATCATGGCCCTTCGGGGTCTCTCTAAGACGGAGACAGCCAAGTAAGGATTCGTCCGATATGATAGCACTGTAGAGTTGTGTGTCAGGTGGGGTAACATCTATGGTATGCTCGGTATGGCCGCTGCAGTGGCTGGTGCATGGGCCAGTCAGTTCGTATGCGATGAAGGCACTTGGCTCATTGCCATATCTCTCTTCCCTGGACTCGTCATAGGAGCACTGCTGGCTGGTCAGCTCCCTACTACCCTTGTGTGGTATATCCACTTCAGGTCACGTGACAATGATTCAGATGCCGCAGATGGTCGGCCTACTGAATGCATTCGGTGGCTTAGCATCTGCCCTTGAGGCTCTTGGCCTCTTCCTCGACCCCAATGCTGAGTTCGGCCCTAATGGGTTCGCTCAGAGTAAGCGTGGCTTGTCATTGGTCGCAGCAGCACTGTTTTCTCAACTTAGTTGACGAGTCGGAGAGGACCGCAGAAGTTGTCATCCAGACCATTGCCATGTTCCTGTCGATGATCATCGGCATGCTCACTTTCTTCGGCTCCATTATAGCGTGAGCAATCCGTTCACTGCCCTGTCTCTATCATGTCTCTTTTCAGGTGCTTGAAACTCAACGGTAACCTTGCGTCGAAGGCTCGGGTGCCACCCTTCCGAACCGTCATTACCCTTCTAATCATGGTACTGATCGTCACCTTTTGTGTGCTTGCCAATCACGAAGGGTAAGCTCCTCAACCGTATCAGTCCATAGTTAAGCATTATACTGCTAGGTACGGGACTGGCCTCGGCCTTATGTACATGCTCTTTGTCGCCGTCCTCTCCTCCATTTGGGGTGTCCTCTTTGTGATAGCCATTGGTGGTGCTGACATGCCTGTTGTCATCTGCATCCTCAACACTGGCTCGGGTTTCGCTGGTGTCTGTGCTGGTAAATCTCCACTGCATCGTTATTGTTGAAGTCAGGTGATCATTTTCAGGGTTTATGTTGTCGAACAAGTTGCTGGTTATAACCGGTGCGTTCGTGGGCTGCAGTGGCGCCATCCTCTCCGTCATCATGTGCGAGGCGATGAACCGTTCCCTATGGTCCACGCTTGTTGGTGGCTTCGGTGAGGGCACCTCCTCTGGCGGTGCCAAGGTCGAGGGTGAGATGAAGGAGATAGCGCTAGAGGAACTGGCTGAAACGTTGAACCACAGCAAGGAAGTTGTCATCGTAGGCTCCACTCATGGATGGTCGTAAAGCATGGTCAACACCAGGTCCCCGGCTACGGCATGGCTGCGGCTAAAGCACAGCATGCTGTAGCTCAAGTCACTGAGATTCTACGTGGTCGAGGTGTCCGAGTCCGTTTCGGTATTCACCCTGTTGCTGGCAGACTACCGGGCCATATGAATGTACCTCTATATCGATCGCTATACCATCTTCGACGCTTGATCTCAGGTGCTGCTAGCTGAAGCACGCGTCCCCTACGACATTGTACTGGCAATGGATGAGATCAACGATGATTTCGAGAAGACTGATGTTACTATCGTCGTTGGTGCCAATGATATCGTCAACCCCGCTGCTGTCGAAGACCCTACGTGCCCGATCGCAGGTGAGCCCAGGAATCTATGCAAGGAGTGCATGCCGAAGCATGTTAGGGATGCCTGTTCTTGAAGTATGGAAGAGTAAGATGACTGTGGTGATGAAGCGTGGCCGTGGTGCCGGTTATTCTGGTGTTGACAACCCCTTGTTCGTTCGTGAGAACAATAGGATGTTCTTTGGCAGTGCCAAGCCCAAGATGGAGGAGTTAGCCGGAAGGTACCGTCATAGTATGATTGCTCATTTGACGCGATTGCCGTAGATTGCTCGAGTTGACAGCCGATGGCAAGAAGGTCCGGCTAGGGCAGGTGGAAGCTCATGAGCCAGCGCAGGAGCCCGAGACGAACGATTCTACTACCGATGTTGGGCCACCACCGGTTCGAGAGACCTTCTATGAGTTGGGCGTGCTGAAGGACCGTTACCCTGGGGAGAAGCGAGTTGCACTGGTAGGGTTGACCTACCATCTATTGGGAAGATCTGCTTTCTGTTGTAAGGTACCCAGTATTTGTGCGAAAATGTATGAAAAGGGCTATGCCATTTACATTGAGAAGAACGCTGGTGCCGAGGCTGGCTTCTCCGACGCAGCGTACGAAGCTGTGGGGTGTGTGGTTCTCCCTGACTCGAGTGGTGTATGCGCCAAAGCCAAGGTAGGTGGCAGAGACCATGCTGTTGTAAAGTCTTTGTAAACTGTTGCTTTCAGATGGTCTTTGTTATCCGTCCGCCGCCCGTGGACGTTCTGCATCGACTTCGAGGCAAATACTGCGTGTCTTGGGTTGGTCGACTGACTGATGCTGGCAAGAAGTAAGGATCGATCTCTCGTCTTCTTCGGGACGCTTGTGATTTGTTCAGAGAGATTGAGATCGCCAATGGGGAGGGAGTGAATCTGATTGACGTCACAGCCGTTCCCAGAATCACCATCGCTCAGAAGCTCGACTGCCTTTCAAGTCAAGTGGGTTTACTCGACTCCTTGTGAAATTGTTGTTACCTGAAATTCAGGCTAAGATAGCTGGTCACCGTGCTGTCCTGGAGGCCGCTCATGAATACCAGAAATTCTTCGCGCCTGAGATAACCGCTGCAGGTGAGCTCCCTGGAGGTCTGTCAGCTAGTGACGTGTTGGGTCAGGCAAGTACCCTCCTTGTCGAGTGATGGTCCTCGGCGCCGGGGTGGCTGGCCTCGCTGCCATCGGCACTGCTGTTTCCCTTGGAGCTGAGGTCCGGGCATGGGATGTAGGCAGGAGCGTTGCTTGGTAGCTTGTGTGATGCTCGGCTTAGGTTCGTGATGTGTCGGATCAAGTGGAGTCCATGGGTGGCAAGTGGTTCAGTGTCGACTTCAAGGAGGAGGGTGGGGGCAGTGGCGGCTACGCTAAGGAGAGTAGCGATGCTTTCAAGGCTGCTCAGAAGGTGCCGTTGGTGCTCTTTGAACGTCCCATGATTGCAGCTTCTAGGCTACATTTCACAAGCATGCGAAGGAGTGCGATATCATCATCACTACAGCTGCTATTCCTGGCAGGCCGAGCCCGCGTCTGATCGAGGGATATATGGTAAGTTGGAGTTCAAGTCGAATCGTGGACTGTCAAGCTCAGGTTGACTCGATGAGGCCAGGGTCAGTTATAGTAGATCTTGGAGTTGAGGGTGGCGGAAACTGCGAGCTGACGAGGAAGGGAGAGTCCTACCTCTACGAACAGAAGGTCAGTGAGGCTCCTCCTGTGGCGGAGAAGCGATGTGTTAGGTACGTATTATCGGCTACACTGATATGGCAAGTCGGATGGCCGACCAAGCGTCTACTATGTTCGCGGCCAACATGCTCAATTTCCTCACTCATGTACATTCTAAGGGACCAGAAGAAGTACAAGAGCTCTTCACCGCGGGACCGTCTCGGCCAATAGTTTTGCTATCAGGCTCGAGATGCTCGTAGCTTTGAATCCCATCTCGAGGCCAACATCAAGGAGTCGCCAGAGAGCGACATTATAGTTCGGAGTATAGTGTGCTGCAAGGATGGCCAGGTGTCTATTCAGCAACAAACGACTGTCGGTTCAGTCTCCCCCCTTGAAGGTGTTGAAGATGCCTCCGCCTCCCCAGCCTAGCCCAGCTGTTCCAAAGAAGGCTGAAACTCCACAAAGTCCTGGACAGGGCGGTGTTAGTCAAGTATGAATTTTTTGAACCGAAAGTGATAAGTATGTCATTTCTTCTAGGTAAACGCTGTTGGTGGCGGCGTTCTGGCTTCATCGCAGTTCCTGTTACTGATCTCCGCTGGTATCCTTGTTATCATAGCCATATGGGCGCCTAGGACCTTCATAGATCTTCTTATGGTCTTTGTGCTCGCGGGATTCGTAAGCACTCCATCCCAGCATTGTTCGTCCTTCATTCGGGTTTCTTCAATAGGTCGGGTACATGCTAGTATGGAATGTGCAGCCAGCTCTCCACACGCCTCTTATGTCGGTCTCCAACGCCATCTCGGGGCAGGTAGGGTGGCTATAGCGTCGTGGAAGTCCTACCCTACCATCCTTTCTTTTCAGGTTGTGCTTGGTGGCATCTTCATGGTATCTTCCGAGGAAGTGGCCACGCAAGTCTTCGCAGTAGCTGCTATTGCTATTGCCGCAATTAACATCGGAGGAGGTTTCATGGTGGGTTTGCCTTCTGCCATCGATATGGTTGACACCGAGATCATCTTCATTTTTTTCAGGTAACTCACCGAATGCTGGCCATGTTCAAGCGAGATGCCTCGTGATTATGATTGTATTTCATGACCTCCACCGAGTTTCCGTCAATATATCAATCTGCTACGATTCTCCCTTGAAATTGTTTGCAGTAGTTCTATTGCTCGATTCGAGATTCTCATTTATATTTGAACGGAGGCGCATCGCCTCAGTTCGACATTGATTTCCATTACTGAATGATTCTAGTTTCATCATTCCCCCTGTGCGGAGGAATTACACTTTGTGACTCTAACACAAGTAGCTAATTAAGCAACATTTTTAGGGCTGCTGCATATTGCTAACGTGACCGATTTGTCCGCAGCGGTAGCTAAAACGGCTTCAGTAGCTTTTTATATGTGTTTCGTTCATTATACTCTATGGATCCGCAAACTGAGGGGATGTTGTGCATCAGAGAGAAACATGCTCCAGCCGACCCTTGTGAGAGTCTTCTGAACAGGGTTGTAGTACACAGCCGGAAGATCTTCCTATCAAAGTTGTGAACATGTCGAGATGTTGTAGAGCTGACTCACGTGACCAATTTCCCAAGATGGAATAGTGAAGCACTCTTTCAGACGTTGGAGAAATTAAAGCGTTCTAGTTTGCCTTAGAGCTAGGGTCGTGGCTCAAGCAGCCGATGAACAATCCTAATACGAGGCGATTGACCATGGAGGCTCACCTTTAATGTTCTCACTCTGGACTATTGTCTAGCCGTTTTTAAGTCATGTTCAACTTGTCCGTGTTGGGGTTTTCTCCCGGAATTGAGGTGAAAGAGAGAGTTTCTCAATATCCTTAGAGATGAATTTCATAGAATGTCTTTTCGAGAGGCTATTCAGGTTGTGAATACTTTCCCGGTACACTGATGTATACGAGGCTACATTATGACTATACTCAACACTTCTCGTACAGGAAAAGATATTCACTCCATCATAAACGTTCACAAACTCAATGACGTGCTCGAGATATCTAAAGCGGTGCGAATGCTGTGATACCATCGTTCGCATCGCGTCGAGGGGAACAGTCACTTGGCTTGGGTCGTGGAGAGTAGACCTCTGCTATGACGGCCAAGGACGGCTACAAAGAGCGCAACATGCAGACTCATGTTTATATGAAGTAGAACCTCTCGCTCACCTCGGGCACCTCATGGCCGTCAGACTCAGAAGGGTTCTCAATTCTCAGCGTCTCCTGAAAACACCCCTTTTTGGACCATCAATATTGCCCAATTAGCCCGCCCCTCATGAAAGCCCTACCCAGGGTATCGGAGTGCAAATCTTCGTCAATTTAGAGAACAAATCGCCAGCAACAAAGTCGTTATCGACTACTGTACAGAGGAAGTAATGTTGTCGAATGAAGTTCAGAACCTGAAGGCGTCTTCAGATCGTCATTGACTGTCAACAGGGGAACCTGTCTGGACTGATGATCATCCTCAGGGTAGACATCCATCCACTCATTCCACAAAGCGAATGCCTCGTCCTTCCAAGCCTAAAAAAGGATGCTCTCCCTAATATAAAGGGCCAATAAAACATACCATAAAGCTGGTCACATCCACAACCGTAGGCTGTATGATCTCGCTATTGGGGAACACTCCCCAGGTAACGGCGTTGACCTGTCCTTGAGGAGGGATGTTAGACCTCACTTTGGACCCGTCAGCCGTCACTGCCATGTACGATATCGAGTCGTATTTCTCGGCCTCGATTCCCTACGGACACTTAGGAATCATCGCCGCTGCCATGAAGTGCTTCTTACTCTGATGAGCTGCTCGAGCTGACCCTCTGGACAGAAGAATTCGACATAAGCCTTCTGATAGACGAAGCCCCCTGCCGGGCCCCAACCGACATAAGGATCAGTGGAGAGGGCGCCATTCACACTGAGGATCAAACTGACATATGAGATGCCTTCGGGGTCCCTACCGAGGTTGACTGTTTATAGTGAGCATGTTGCATTGATTTAGTCGAATCAGCTGCTTCTGGATGAAAAGCGTCTCTTCCGTTGGAGGTTCTGTGCACCACGGCAACCGCTTCACTTCGCCCTTGATGAAGTCCGTGAAAACCTAATTCAACGTAGCTAGCGCGGGCAGGGAGAATCTCCTGAGGCCTTACTCGCCTCACATGGTCTCCATTGGGGACATGATCCCCCCACATACGCCGTCGATCGGCAGCCACCTGTAGAAGAGGCCTCAGCATCACCAGCAAATGCATAGGACTGTACCTTTTCTTGAGTCTCCTTAGAATAGGAACGGAAATTCAATTCAAAGTCACCATAAGCAGCGGAGGCCTGGTTGCCAAGACGGCCTGAAGGGAGGAGGATGAGGGTAATGAGACGGTGGGGCGAAAGGCACCGTTGGGGAATTCATCCCAGCTGCTGGTCCGCTGGATGAAACTCTTCTGTCGATTTCTCCAGAAGATTGGCCTCACGTTTTCCTCCTGTCGAGACGAGGCCTTGGAAGGCCGCCACGGAAGAACCTATGAGCAGGGCAGTGAAGGTAAGATGCAGAATAGGCCTACCCTGGTGGCCACGTGGTTGTCGACCATCATGAGGCGTTCAATAATACGGCAGACGGAGGACTCCAGGTTGAGCGTGTAGAAATGCAGTCCCCCACTGGAATGAGTATGGTCAACTCCATAGGACATGATTTGCGAGCCTGAGAGAACTGCTGGGTGTGACACGTCCTCGTGTGAGGTGGTTACACATAGCCACGCATATCTCCACTCCAAGATCCTTCACCCTCTGATCATCGCCCTTTACTTGCTCTAACTGATCCGCTATCGCCCTCGGCACCTGGTCGTAACCATCAAGGCCCGCATCACGAGCGACTGCATACAATACTCACTTTAGTTTTACAGAATTCGGTCATCTTTTTGAAGCCCGAGTAACTCTGTATCGGCATTATCCCAGGGAAAATGGGTACTTGTATGCCCAACTTCCGGACGGCCGCTACGAATTTGAAAAACCTTAGAGGAGATAGTTGCCGAATTTCCTATGAAGTGATGGCGTACACTTCCGTGTCATAAAAAAGTTGAGTAATGATGAGGTCCGCCCCGGCGTCCACCTTCTCCTTGAGATGCACCAAGTCCTCCTCAATCGATTCGGCTTCTAGATGCCCTTCAGGGTATCTGTTCCGCATCCACGAGAGCGATGGGATGTCGTAGACCCCCTGCTACCCAGCAACAGCTATGCAGAAGTAGTCGCCGTATTTGCCTCGTATGTGGCGTACTAGATCGACGGCGTGGGAGAATCCTCCTGAGAGAGTTCGATGATGGTCTTTAGGGTAGCCTGACGGCTGACCTTGGCACGCCCTCCATTCACTTGATTGCGTCGGGGCATCACCTCTCAACGCTAGGATATTCCGTATTCCAACCTGACAGGTCGTCGATGAGGCCCATCCGGGAGGAGCGACAGACTTGCCTCTTTGCACTTGTCCAAGACCTCATCAATCTCCTCCACTGACTGTTGGGTGCATGTGAGGTGCATCATCACGTCCAGACCGTGATAGGTGAGGGCGTTGCGGCAGATCTCGAAGGTTTTGTTGGAGGAAGAGGAAGACCCTCCAGCCCCCCTGAGGCCATCACTCCTTTGGTGGATCCAGGTCAATATACACACCATGTAACGTCTATCCACATGGGACCCAGCTCGGCCATTCTGTCGAGCCTCTCGTAGAGGTTCTGAACCCCCATGTCGGTCTTGGGAGGAAAGTATCTGGCAGTTAGGCGCTTGTTCGTGAGGCAGGCAGTGAGGGGCGGTACTCAAAGGAAAAGAAGGGGACCCTGCCGTTTTCATTGTTCTCCCGATCATGTTCCCATCGACTCTGTATCTTATCGATGAGTCGAGCCATCGCAATACAACTGCTTATCGAAGTGTCAGTCATCGTCCCATTACCATCCCCACGAGTACTCCTTCCCACCGCAGCGCGCGTCGAAGATTTTCCGCCGATGGCCTCGGGGTGGCCTTCCACCCAAACTATCCGTATTGTTTGTACACCAGGAGTATTTAGATACTTCCTAACACAAGGCGTAGTTCTTGACGGTGTTCGGCTCGGGCGTGTCCAAACACTGTCACTAAACTTTGTGTCCTAAATCACTAAATCTCAGCGCGCGCCCTCATAGTCGATATAAAGCGCGACTTCGTTTCAACGGCGTTAGGGAAACAGATGAACCAAAAACCCGGAGGGAAGCAACTTCCTTCAAGCAAGTTTACGAAGAGGGTTCAGCGGGCCAGGCGGATCTGTCTCAAGTCCATGTCTCATTGGGAAAACTCGACACTCGTTTTGTGAGCTACATTTTGATTCACCTTCCAAGTTTTTCGAGCTGCGAAACCCAACACTATATCATTGATGTATGCAGATCACTATACTTCGAACAGTATGACTCAGTGAAGACCACTTATTAATGATGCTGATGGGCTTCTCGAGCTTCGGTCGACCACAGGAGTGGTGGAATGTTTGAGCCTCAAACTTTGAGGTACTTGCACTTGATTGCTCAACTTGGGGACTTGTCAGCGAAACTTTTGACCAGAATTATTGAGTGGAAAGTGAATTCATCGATGCATTACGAGTTGAGTTGTTGGTTTTGCGGGTTGACAGAGAAGTAATCGGTTCTAAGCCTCTGATTATTAGATGATAAAAGTTTCTTGGCATCCACGGCAATGCATTTTTCCGGCGAAAGAAGCACGGTTACCGTGCCACGGTAGGTTAATGGAAGACTGAGTACCGATGCCAGACCTCTCGAAGACGTTTTCTCTGACGTGTCGTGAACCCTGTTGGATCTTTGTGGAACCTGGCAAGTAGTAGCAAATGATATAACCTCCGTCTCAAGTCTTGACACGCGAGATTTTTCACCCACTTAATCGAACAACTGTTCAGCCAGCTTTCGTTGATACCATTCGCGTGGAGGAAGTTTTGAGCAGTCTCTCCGACGTAGGCGTGCCTGAGGCACGGTGCCTCTCTCTCTTCTCGTCAAAAGATAACCACTTACGCTGACGGAGGGGAATCCAGCGGTAGCGGGTAGTAATAGCAGGATCATACCTCATGCGGGAAAGGCCAGCACGGCATATAATAATAGCGGTTAGTCGGGTTATATGTTTGTCTATCCATACACCTGAAAACGGTGTGAAGGATGTTCTTTTTCTTAACCTTAGGCGCGCATAAACCGATCACAGGGGCGCGCGCGTCTAATTTAGTGATTTAGGACACAAAGTTTAGTGACACGGTTTGTTTGCGCCTTCGGCTCGGCTGCCGCCGAATCTTGCACTCTCGCCATTCCTCAATTCTTTCGATCGAATTGCTGCTACATATTGGAATTGTTGAAACTTACATGGTTGTCTCCGACACTTCGCCCTAGGGGGTAGGTACTCAGTGGATGTTACTGCTAGTTGAGGTCTTTCCCACTCAGGGCTGCTCTTTACGACAGAAGAAATGGTAACAGAGAGGTAGCTAGAGCAGGCTCCTATGCGAGCCCCAATGGGAGGCAACATGTGATGGGAAGGCCACTGAGTTCTCCTTTTCCACTCCATTATTGCCGTTATGTCGCATCCTAGAGAGGACAGTCCGTTGAAGCTATCAAACCTTACTTACTCCCTTATACTTTTGTACTGATGCCCCCAATGACCCCACTGTTCGTTCTACAAGCACTATTGCCTTCGAGGCCTGAGCCTCTGTCATCCCCAGTTGCTAGATTGAGTTACTGCATTGACTTTCCTGTGGTCAACATCAGTCTACTTGTGCATGACATGTTACCTCCTCTCACGCCCGGTATTCTAGTTCGGAGGAATCGTCCGTGGGGTACCGGAAGGTCCGAGCCGATGAGTTGGCGTGGTGACACGCAGGTGAGCTCATATCAATGATATTCCTTCCACGAGTATAGCCTTAGGCCGGCTACGCTGTCAACGGCCCTGAATGGGCTCCTGAGGTTAGAGTGTTTGGAAGAAGCTCTAATAATAGTAAGGCTTGCATTCCCTCTACTCGAGCCTATCTGTATCCCTCAGTCGGGCTGCACGTTCCCTGCAACAGCTTCGAGGCGACGAGCTGCCAGGACGCATTAGCCCACTGTCGAGCAGCAGGAGCGGAGGGTAACAGCATCGGAGTCGTTGACTCTGTTGAGGCATCCTTCCTCCTAGGGGACCGAGTGAGCGCCTTCTACCGGAGCACAGGTGCGAGGCGACATAGGATGGAGCCGGCATTTCGGGATACCAAGGCCTTCGGAAGGTGCTCAGCATCATTTTGAGCAGCCACGGTTGAGCAGATTCTCTCCTCGTATTGGTCAGGCCCCTCCCTCCCCACCCGTGGGTTCATCCCTCACACCATCAACGAATGCTCGCCTCGACCCCCCGGTGAGGAGTTGTTGATCGTGGCACTAGACGGACTGGAGGCCTACCCTAGGTCCTCGACGGCATCCGTCAAGTCATCTCGTCGTAGTAGTAGGAGCAGTAGTGGCCGCAGTAGCCGGTCGAAGAGTACTGCTCGTACGGTGAAGTCCCAGGCGACCCATAAAAGGTACGCTTGCTAACTCCTAGGTCTGCTTTTCGGCAAACTCTTCTTCCCGTCCTAGTGCGGACACGAATTCGTCCGCTCCTCTGAGCTGCAGTTCGAGCGAGGCTTATGCTAGAGCCTCGTGGGCCTTCCGTCAGCTGCCGATGTACAGGACACACAATCGCGAATATGGGCATCCGTTCACCTATGGAGCCCGAGGGAGGAGACTGGTAGCTCCTCCGTCCTCCGCAGACGGCTGATGTCAACTCCTCCTCCTCTATAGATGCATCACGAAGCGCGACGCACTCCAGCTGGGTATTTGGGTATTGGATATCCCGATGATCGATTTAGGGAGTTTTATCCTCATTATTGAAACAGGTTCGACTTGTTTATCATGAGCCTATGCTGTGCCACTCATTCCTGTTGTCGGAACTGTGCAATCCCTATAGGCTTGCGTTGTGCATATTTCGTGGACCCACCCAGCGCGTCTCGCTTCTGACAGCTACCGCTCGCTATGTCACAGGATGAGTCTCCCTATTGGGACTCGCACGAGCAGGAGGAAGTTCCCTTCTACCAGCGGCCGGCGTTCCGAACGATTGCATCAATATGGGCTGTGCTTTTCTTCGGCATGTTGTTCGTGAATTGGCTTGTCCAGAGCATAGTGAAGGGCAGTCAGACAGCCTCAATAGACCGGGAGGTGCTCAGTGCCCTACAGGCGGCTGTATATGAAGTAGTGAAGGACCAGAAGGACTTGGTGTCTAGAGTGGATGACCAGTACCTAGATCTGCTCAGTCGTATCAACGATCTCAGTACAGGAGTCCGCAGGATGGGCCATGCCCTACGAGAGCCCTTGTCTCTTGAAAGGCTTCAGGGTATCGTACAAGTCCCTAGAGAGGAGAACAGGTCTACCATGGTGTTTTGCGTAGTCTCGATCGTCTTGGCCGTATTGATGCATTATATAGTACTACGAAAGGATGAGGGGCAGGATATGAGGAGGATTCGGGAGAGGTGTGGTAGTCCACGTCGTTGCCAACAAGCTGTACTACAGTGTGGCGTTATGAACCCGCCGCCAGCGTATAATCCCGAGGTGGTCCCCATCGCGGCTTGGAGGGATGCCCCCATGATGCCTGGTAATGCGAGAATAATCCCAGTCGGATCGCCACTGGCAACGGCTTTCTGTCTTAGTTACACCTCGAGCAAGGAAAGCTGTCGTAGCGGCACGGAAAGCAGATGTGAAGGAACATCGGCTGAGCGCATGTGTGGTGTGCATGGCGTCGACGAGTACCCATGCGATCGTAATATTCCTTTTTTGTCACTAGGCGTTGCAATCCCCCCCCAGGTCCCATGTGGGCACCGGTGTTGCTGTGGCCTCTGCCATACAAGACTAAAGCGGTACGTCCATACTCTCACACCCACATCTCAATGTCATCTTCTAGGTGCCCGCTCTGCAACGTAATGATAAGCTCCGTAGTGAAAATTTATGATTAATATATTGTCATGGCCATGCCTGTACGACGCTTATGCGGTATTACCATATTTAAACAGTTGTTTGAAACCTTTGATTTCTTTGGTTACACTAGTGTTAATCAGTGTATCCTTCTACTTGTTCGGGTACTGTTAGTGAGAGCTCTCAGTACTCACTTCCATGGTAGCATCTATCTCTAGTTATGAACGGTACATCGCTGGCTATGGTGGTGAGGACTCTGATGAGAAACCCGCTGGGTTAGTGATGGGTAACATTTATAAAATTTAACCAATTCTAGCGTTTCAAACACTAGTAGCGTTATGCTACTGCTCACCGTATAACAAATCATGTCGGATGTGTGACTGTGCGGCGTTCAGAATGAATTCCTTGCGCTTTGCCAGGTAATCTAACACTTCCAGATGGGTATATGGTTCATTATGAGCCTTCTGGTTCAAGTAGGATAATGAGGGAGCCTGATCAAGATTTGGAGGCATGGGCGAAATTTAGAGCGAGAAAGATCGGTGGTAACCTGTCGTAGTCATCAGCCCTGGTGTGTTGATGCATAGTCAAATAATCGTTTTTCACAGTCAGTTTGGCCGAGCGGTCTAAGGCGCCAGACTCAAGTTCTGGTGGAGAAATCCTCGTGGGTTCGAATCCCACAGCTGACATGTTTCCCGTTGTAGATCAATCCATCGGAGGACCTGCACTCGAAGGGAACTCAACAATGCATTTACAACCCAACCCACCATACCAAGTAATATTTGTTAAATACCCACCAGCATCTGTCTGATCCATTGGTTGACCTACTCATCAGGACTTCGCCTATTTCGATGCGCAGGGGAGACTGAATCATGCACCTTTGGAACCAGTCCGGGTTGTTAGATCAGTGAGAGCGGCTTGACATTTCGTAGGAGAACTCGCTCCTCGGTCAGAGACGATCCTCAGCTGCATCGTCAATCCCGAGTGACTCGTCATCTCCTAGGCTACTCGGCCTGAGGTCGGTGAGGTTTAGCACAACAATGATTGGTTCAACGCCGGCTAGCAGAATCACAGATGGTGACAGTAATTGACGAAAATCCATTCTCAGCCTGGGGCTGATTCCTAATAGGAATTTCCTATCATTGTTGAGTTCAAATGTCCGGCTATCACGTGCACATAACATCTCTGATGTGATTAGCCCAAACACTCCCAATGTGCAGCACACGTGCTCAGAACACGACAATGTTGTGAGGTGTTTGCGCTCACCATACACCTTTCAACCCAGAAAAATGTAACAGCGATGTGTTTCTTATTATTAACTTCTCGTCCTAACATGAGTGAATGAGAGCCTCTCGTTCACTCGTGTTCATTCACCTCTGGTCAATCACCTCTCATTCAGAGGTGATTGACGATTGTTGCGTTTGGAACATTCCTTCCACGAATCCCCCGCTCGCGTGTCGTCGATGAGACTAAGTATTCATGCTGTGACTCGATACGTAAACACCTCCCGACAACCCAGCATTCATTCTTCGTCTCATCGTCATCAACGCCAATGGCGTTATGCCATGCCCTCGATGATCACACTCAACAAAACGAAACAGATCACTTTGCTTTGAGCGCACACCTCTAAGGTATTGGGTACATCACTTGCAGTTTAGTTGGATTTCACTTGGGCCGTAGGAACACACTGACCTGCCAAAGGAGGAGGATATTCCTAGTGGTGGTAAATAGCGACCACAAGGAATCTTCTTTGGTGTTCTGACCGTCTTACAGTTTGATTAGTTTGGCGAACAGGCAATAGTCGCCTATTTAAAATTAATTCATTATCCAAGACGGGTAGGCTGGGCAGTCCTGAGTTTAGGTTCGGTACAGATCTGCAAGATGGTATCTCCACGTCGGGGAGACCACCGCTGAAGGAAGAGCGAATGGAAACCGACTGCTCAGGTTAGCGAGATGTGTGGAGGCATTGACTTACTCTGTCCTTATCCTCCCATTGTCCGGCAATTTCCACACGAGTGATGCTTTAGAGCCTCGCATTCTCGACATAATCGCTCTCAGATTCGGGCTGGTGTTCGGCTCTTTGTTCAGAGCTTGTCGTTTCCTCCAGGCATCAGATTTACCGCAAAAGGTATAAAAGCTGTGTCTATCGGCTCTGAACCCTAACTGCTCACTTCTCTTCGCATTTGCCTTCGTGCTCGCGGCCTCTATGTATACGCAATCTGGTCGTTTTCTTCCATAGCAGCAGTTGAGCTCGGCAAACGTATGCGCCGGCTGAGCACGAGGAGGAAGTTCTTCTCTCCTCGGTTGTTCGGCCTTGCGAGGGATAGTCGCGGCATGCTTCAGGAGGGCCACATTGAAATCTTGTTGTGGAGGATGTAGGGACGCCGATAACATCATTTGAGCGTTAAAGGTATCCATGGCAAAGGTCGAGTTGCCTCTTGCCCGTGGCTGGTGCCCCTTCTTGCATTCCAGTCCATAGCACAAAGGGGAGAAGAGGTTGTCAACGAGCGCTGAGTTCTCAATGGCAGGTCCTGATGCTTCACGGAAGTCTACTGCTGGAATACTACTATCGCGGACGACCGAGAATCGGTTACGCAGTAGTATGGCTCCGCCAGGTGCCTGAACATTCACGTCGATGAGTATGTAGGGACCGGCAATCCGATCTAAGGTCACCTCCAAAGATTTCTCAGTCGGAGGAGACATGAACTTAACACAGCTGCTTCGTAAGCAGCGTAAACTGCAATTCTGGATCGTGCAGACTGGTAAACTGCCATTACCTGAGGATCGACATGCCAAAGATGTATATGGAACGTGTAAAAGACATGTCATGCAAGATTCCGAACGACAATTTTCACTGACAGTCTGGCCGAGCGGTCTAAGGCGCTAGCTTCAGGCGCTAGTCCGAAAGGGCGCGAGTTCGAATCTCGCGGCTGTTACTTTTGCATGCTCCACGAGTAGAATGAATTTAAACCTTTGTTGATGCTCATTTTGATTGCGACGTGGAAGACGGCGTTAAAAGATGTTTCGACATTCGGTGGGATTGAACCCGGGTCTATTGAGTCGACCAGGGGTCGGCCAAGGGCTTAATTGAAATTTCGTGACGCCCGACGCAGAAGCGGTGGAGGTCACGGAGGATCGAGAAATGTAGCGGGCCACTTCTTGATCCTCGTTCTCACTTTCAGTTGTAATCACTATTCCGCAACTGAATAACTCTCCATCAGTGGATGCTTCGCATTTAGTAACATCAAAGTTAGCAAGAGTAAGGTTGTCTATAATACAGCCCGGATGCTCCACTCGGATCTGCAACGACAACAATCAAGCTGGAGGGCAGCCTCTAACTGGGCTTGTCGGGCAGAATCAACTCCACACAGATATACGTACTTGGCCAATGATCGTCACGCCGTGTCGGCAGAGGCCTTGAATGATGACTCTGCGTCGGCGTAGTCTGACAAACCCACACACTAAAAACATGCACATCTACTGAGCAGGAGACAAACTCGCTGAAAACTACATAAACTGGGGTGATACGCATGCAGGGATTGGAATAGTAAATACTCGTGAGTAAGCAGTGAAGAGCAGACATAGTCAGGCGTATCGCCCAACCTGAGCATGCCTTCCGGTAGAGTATAGGTTCCTGGTATCAACTGTAGCACTCTGGTTGTCGTATCACCATCACTGTGGTGTGGATCATCAATGATCTCCTGCGCAACCAAGGACAACACGGGGATCGACGAAGTGGCTTCAACCACGCGATGGGAGGGACTCACTTGTAGCTTGCCCGACATGCTTGCGTCTACCACAATAACGTCTCGCTTCTCCCGAGCCCAGAACTCCCTCTGCCGCTGCTGGTGCTCAGGGAGGGTGTATGCGAAATGGCGATATATCTACCAGCACGATCGACGAGGAACCCCGATTCAACACCAGCAGGCCAGCAATCACCTCAGATGCTCGCTGGGGAGATCCCTTGGAAATCCTGTCTGTAATGGCTGCAATACCCAAGCCACCTTCAGCCGCGGCCCATCGGAGTCTTGTCATGTCGCTCTCTTCTATGTTGACCTCAATGGCAATCCGGAAGGGTTCGCTTTCTCCCACCGCGGTTGTAACAACGATGCTATGCTGACTTCGCCCGGAAAGCCGTGGTACGCCGCGTAAGACGCAACCCCGTTTCTCCAGTTCTATTCCCGGCGGCAATGCAGGTGTGACACGGCTGGTGACACCATCGTCTTCTGAAGATAGGTCTCGGTCACCAACCTTCACGATCAACCGTATCGGGCCACACTCCCGCCCATAACGCAGAGCCACGTGTGGCGCATCACCATCGACGCCGTCAAGGCCGACCACTTTGGGCAGTCTTCCAATGAGGGTCACGCGGGCCTCAATTATACTGGATACCCCCTCCTGGGCTTGCACGAGAGCTACAACGAACACTGCGTCTTTGATGACCACCCGTACAGGAGGCTCATCTTCCCGACACGATGAAGACAGCTCAGTTCGACTAGTGTCAACTAGGGTAAGTAGTCTCTCTTCAGCTGACAGAGCCAGCGAGACCTGAGCCTCCACAGAGCCCAACTGTGATACCAGATCAGCCGTTATCTGCAGTGAGAACGTCCAATACGGACCCGTCCACGATGAGTTTCCACTACCGTTCCAGCGACGCTACCGTCCTTGCCATTAGACATGCTCATCCACGTCTCTGTGTTCATGCCAATAGGGACATCCTCCGGCACGGCAGTGACCACTTTAGCGTCCTTAGCGGGTTCGAAGGCAATCTACCCAAACCATGAAGGAGGGAACCAACTGGAGACCAACCATCTGACCTTGCGAAGGCTGAGGTCCTCTTCTGGCGGTCCCTCTAGCTGCCAAACTACGACTAGATTTCCCGTGCCGGGTATCTTAGGTCCGACGGCTGTTGGACGTGGCGGTAGTAGGTCTTCCTTAGCTGAGGGTAATGACTTAGGACTCGCTTCTTGTGAGCTCATGGAACTGCCCGATAGTGTGCGAACTTCCATCGTATTGACAACGCAAGAGCTGGCAAGAGATACAGCAAGGGTTCTATTGTTGAGACCAACGATCGACCTTGGCACTGCAACGTATGCTGGGCTGAGCGCTACGCTGCATTACTATTACACGGAGCAACGCCGCTACACGAGGTATCGCACAGAGCACTTGTATCCCAGCTCATCCGTGTGGCACCGTTACGCCTGTATCCTCACTGACGTTCTTCACAGTTCGCCCAGCTACCCGTCTTAGTCCTCAATCCCCTGGCAGTGTCGGAATATATATTTAGTTTCCTCAGTGTTGCTCGAGAGCTTCCTCACACCATGATGGACAATTACACACGACTTGGCACAAAGTCTAACCATAACTTCCCCACATTTCCCTTGTAATCGTCATATTGTCACAAACCCACGTCGTTGACCTTGTGCAAATTTCCTAACCCTGCTTCCTGGTGATCTTAATTTCTTAGGAAGATGAAATCAGCAGTGAAGAGTGATAGCTGTAAGATGGTAATGACGGTAAGACCCAAGCTTGCCTGACGACGGGGAACCTCGTAGACTTCAGACAAAAACAAAGGGTGTTGAATCTGGTGATCGAGAAAAAGGCCCAACCCTTCAAATTTCTCAGTGAGTGTGAATGACAGACAAATTCCGATGCCATTTTGAAGCATCCAGCGAGCTCCCCAGTTGCTCTAGTATGTAGTTGAGATTCGCACCTACATATTTCTAGAGCTCCGAAGTGGATCTAAGAGGAAGGTAGCACAGTAGTTGAAAACCTCAACAACCGCGCTGCCTCTCCCGACCTCATCCATGCGAGCGGCAAAGGACTAGTAGCGGTAGTACTATGCCGTGGGGATCAACGCAACCGTCTATGTGTCATTATCGAGAAACATATACCAATTTTTAGGGCTCTCACTGGAGGATATCAACCACCCTCCTCTACTACTGATGTTGTTTTCTACTACTACCCACTGCCTATTGATGCTTGGCCTGTTGTAGCAGCCTCTTCTGCATGAACACGTTGGTCTCCATCATATTCTGAGCGCAACGCCACAAACAGGTCTGCTCCGAAGTGGACAGAGACTTGCCAGGAGTCTGAGCAGCACAAGATGAACAACAGTAACGACACGAGTTGGCGAGTTACCGAAACACATTTGTCGAAACAGAGTCCGGTGAGCTTAACCATAGTCTTCTGACTTTCAATGATCATATTCAACTGCATCATCTGTTGCTGAGCAGCCTTGTGGTCATCAGAACTATGATCACTAGTATAGGATGATGTAGTGTCCATTATAGGGAGGAGGCTGGTGAAAAAACGGGGTACTTCAACAGAGTACTGTCGCTGCCACTGGTCCATAGATTCTTCCGGGTGCGCTCTCCCCTGCCGTGAAAAGCTCCCTCTGTAGCCCTTTTACTGCTGCATGTATGCACACGAAGCCATCCCTAGCCCCATTCCTCAATCACTAGTAAATGGTGTTTCGTGGGCTATTCCGTTCTTCAGGCGTCTCTCTTCAGAGACGCCTGAAGAACAGGAAAAATCGCCCCTCGTTATGATCACAAAACTCTGCCGAGTTCGAGAGTAATGTGTAGGAGTTCTAATACGGTCCTAAACGCCTTGGCAAAATTGACGTATGTATAAAGTCACTGCCAAGTCAAACAGAATGAGGAACCTAAATCTTGCAATCTAGTATTTTCACAATTTTAGAATTGTAAATAGCGCGTTCGCCCGAGCGATCCATAGCCTTTGTTCGTACAGTCCGGAGTCGACCTAAACCGGTATGTTCGCCAAGGAAATCGTAATCGACTGCCGCGGGCACCTTCTGGGCCGCCTCGCGAGTAATAAGGGGGTGTCTAGGGGTTAGGGTCCATGGCTGACCTGTTTTGAATCTTTCTCGTGCGCCCAGTGGATTCGTGTTAGCTCCTGATTGCTAGGCCTCCTGGACTTGCCATTAGACCAATATTGAGAGAGTTACGGTATTGTTCTTTTCCTTCAGGCATGATCGCTAAGGAGCTTCTTAGCGGTCAGAAGATCGTTGCTGTCCACTGTGAGGGCATCAACATCTCTGGCTCCTTGTTCCGTAACAAGCTGAAGTACGAGAGCTTCAAGCGCAAGCACACCAACTCCAACCCCAAGAAGGGCCCTATCCACTTCAGGGTAATCACAAGATCGTCTCTTCTTGTGGCCCACTCACCAACTCCTTCGTTCAGGCTCCCTCTAAGATCTTGTGGAGAACTATCCGCGGTATGATCCGTCATAAGACCGCCCGTGGCCAGGCTGCTCTTGATCGTCTGAAGGTTTTCGATGGTATGCCGCATCCTTACGATAAGGCCCCCAAGCAGGTCATCCCTTGCGCCCTCAAGGTAAGGACGTTATAGCTGGCCTCATTCTCTCTTATTGTTTTTCTACTGTAGGCCTTGAGACTGAAGCCCACCCGTAAGTTCTGCTGCCTCGGTGACTTGAGCGAGAGGGTTGGCTGGAAGTGCAAGTCTCTTGTCGAGCGTCTCACTGAGCGTCGTAACCTCCACAAGGCCGAGTACTACACGAAGGTCACCAAGACCATCCGCAAGGTCAGGTCTGAGGCCCAGAAGCAGGTTGCTGCTGACCCTAAGCTCAAGGCTGAACTTGCTACTGTTGCTCCCATCAGCTTCTAAGAAGAAGGCAGTTTGATCCCACGAATGTCGGATGAAGATCGACTTCCTACTGGGCGGCTAACTTTCCGGGAAAGTGCCCTCTTGTGTTGAGTATTAGTCGGGAAATATCAGCATGCACTGTTTGCTTGTTTGGGTCCTGTGGCTCTAAGTGCTCCTGACTCATTTCACAGTGCGATAGTAATAGCGAGAGAGTTAGCTAGGCCTGTGTTAAAAGGCTTTGGTCTTAACGTGCATGGTTTAGTGTTACAACTCGTTAACAAGCGTTATGAATACAAATGATGATAGCAAGGCTCCCTCTTCTGCCATGGTCATAGCTGGCCTAGCGTGGAGACTCCTGCCACTCATCGAACCCTATAGTAGCTGATGATGATAGTCGGTACATCTCTGAGATTGTTGATGAGATACCTTTTCTTTTCACCTTTCCACTGAAGCATAATAGTAAGTGTGGTATCGGGGAAAAGCTCGTTCACGGATACTTGTTCCGTCGAGTCGTGACTGTCTCCGTATAGTAACGGTCAACCGCCAGGGCATAGCAGACTCTAGCTTTACCTCCAGAGATTGCTTTTATATTGCGGGTCCCACATATCAACATATCCAACTGATATACAAGGGAGTAAATGAAAAAACAAATCCAAAGAGTTAGTCTAATCATACAGAAGCATGGAAGAATGCATGAGGACGGTGAGCTGTGCTGTGCTCGTAGATGAATCCGATGTCCATCAAAGAAAGAGTGTACCACGCGAATGTAGTGGGACGGCAAATACTGTACCTCAGCGCATTTTCTGTGCGTTCGTCCAATCGTCTAGACTCCAGCCCATGTCGTGAATCGGACGAAACTGTTCAGCGCTGTGACACTGAGCGAAGGGAAAAGGCTTGAAGTTGTAGAATCAAACAAGTTATCGTTATGAACAATTCCTCATGAATACTATTGCAGACGTTTCTCCCATCACGAAATTGACAAACACAGGCCATGAGAAGGTAGCGGAAACTGTCTCGAATAGTACAACAAAAGCGTGCACATAGTAAATTGATACTGTATCATCATCTCATTCTACACCCATCTCTCGACTAAGGGCGCTATAGAGATCATCAAGAGCCGACCCAGACGATACTGTACTAGGAGATACCGCAATAGTAGGTACACTTGAGGAAGGGCTAGGACTACTCACCGACACGGGGAGAACCTGAGAGTACCAAGAGCCGATAGTAATACACACAGCAACAACAGCAACTCCTCACCTCAGCAGCTGCAGCAACAGGAGTTTCACTCGAGGACGCGCTCTCCTTGGACTCTCGTGGTGGAATAACTTCTTGAACTGGAGTTGGCTTTGGTTTAGCAACCTTGGCCTGCCTCGGCCTCTTAGTCTGCCTCGGCTTTTTAGCGACCTCGGCCTCCCTCTTCACGCCCTTACCATTACTCGTCTTCTCCCCACCTGCAGCCTCCACCGTAGCATTCTTAGTCGAGCCCAGGAGCTCCTTGATACTAGCACTCAAGGACTTAATCTTGTCACTAACGACAGGGGCAGCAGATGAGGAGATCTCGCTACTTGTTGCAGACCTAGCTGGACTCCGCCGACGCCAACTAGAGTCTGTCCCTGTAGAACTCTCCTCCTTAGTCTTGTTAGTGCTCCACTTCGACACTTTATTATGCTGCCTTTGGACCTCCTCC